CTCTTGATTAGAATATTTTCCTACAACTACTGTTGATAATGTTTGGGTTCGAAATCCGTTTGTAATTACAGCCAAACCAGTCGGCTTTACTGCGCACGATTATGAAAGCCTAATTGAATTAATTTCTGACTCTGATTTGAAACAAAAGTTTAAGGATCTTCCACTTAATAATTTTTGGAGCAGCTTAATAGAAGAGTACCCTAATGTGGCTAAACATGCAGTTCAAGTGCTCCTTCCTTTTGCTACAACTTATTTGTGTGAGACAGATTTTTGTATTATACTGCAACAAAAACCAAATATAGGAATAGACTTGATGCTGCGCCTGACACGAGGATTCAACTTTCCAGCATTATTCCTAATATTAAGCAGAAACACCAATCCCATTAAATCCAAATTTGTATTTCTGTTTATAAAAATAGATTTTCCTAGTAAAAATCTAATTTGTTTGGTGTTTGTGTATATATAAAAACATTTTTTTTTAAGTAGAACACTGTTTTTAATTTTGACTCTTGCACTTGATTTTTGTACTACTTTATATGCGCTTTCCAGTTAGAAATTGTTAGTTCAAGTTATTTTAAATTTGTATTTTTGCTTTGTTTTATAAAATAAAATATATTTGAGCATAAATAACGCAATTTTTTATTTGAAAACCAAACGACTACAAAATAATATTATAAGTGTTCCGTAATAGGCTAAAAAGTGTTCCGTGGCCAAAAAAGATTGGGAAACACTGAAATAGGGTATAACTGAATTTGTTCAACAAACTATCAGAAGCCTGCATCCCAAGAAAGGGGAAAAAATTCATAGGCAGGAACTGTAGACCAAGCTGGATGAGCAAGCATCTCAGAGAGGTGATTAAGAAAAAGCAGAAAGCCTACAAGGAGTGGAAGATGGGAGGGATTAGCAAGGAAAGCTACCTTATTGAGGTCAGAACATGTAGGGATAAAGTGAGAAAGGCCAAAAGCCATGTAGAAAGGGAATTAAATTTCCCCGTGCAAAGGGAATTAAAGCCAATAGTAAAAGGTTCTATAGCCATATAAATAAGAAGAAAACAAAGAAAGAAGAAGTGGGACTGCTAAACACTGAGGATGGAGTGGAGGTTAAGGGTAATCTAGGCATGGCCCAATATCTAAACAAATACTTTGCCTCAGTCTTTAATGAGGCTAACGAGGAGCTTAGGGATAATGGTAGGATGACAAATGGAAATGAGGCTATGGAGGTAGATATTACCACATCCGAGGTAGAAGCCAAACTCGAACAGCTTAATGGGACTAAATCGAGGGGCCCAGATAATCTTCATCCAAGAATATTAAAGGAACTGGTACATGAAATTGCAAGCCCATTAGCAAGAATTTTTAATGAATCTGTAAACTCAGGGGTTGTACTGTATGACTGGAGAATTGCTAACATAGTTCCTATTTTTAAGAAAGGGAAAAAAAATGATCCGGGTAACTACAGGCCTGTTACTTTGACATCTGTAGTATGCAAGGTCTTAGAAAAAATTCTGAAAGAGAAAGTAGTTAAAAACATTGAGGTCAATGGTAATTGGGACAAAATACAACATGGTTTTACAAAAGGTAGATCGTGCCAAACCAACCTGATCTCCTTCTTTGAAAAGGTAACAGATTTCTTAGACAAAGGAAACGCAGTGGATCTAATTTACCTCAATTTCAGTAAGGCATTTGATATGGTTCCACATGGGGAATTATTAGCTAAATTGGAAAAAATGGGGATCAATATGAAAATTGAAAGATGGATAAGGAACTGGTTAAAGGGGAAACTACAACGGGTCATACTGAAAGGTGAACTATCAGGCTGGAGGGAGGTTACTAGTGGAGTTCCTCAGGGATCGGTTTTGGGACCAATCTTATTTAATCTTTTTATTACTGACTTTGGCACAAAAAGTGGGAATGTGCTAATAAAATCTGTGGACGACACAAAGCTGGGAAGTATTGCCAATACAGAGAAGGACCAGGATATCATACAGGAAGATCTGGATGACTTTGTAAACTGGAGTAATAGTAATAGGATGAAATTTAATAGTGAAAAGTGCAAGGTCATGCATTTAGGGATTAATAAGAAGAATTTTTGTTATAAGCTGGGGACGTATCAGTTGGAAGTAACAGAGGAGGAGAAGGACCTCGGAGTATTGGTTGATCATAGGATGACTATGAGACGCCAACGTGATATGGCCGTGAAAAAAGCTAATGCGGTCTTGGGATGCATCAGGCGAGGTATTTCCAGTAGAGATAAGGAGGTGAGACCTCATCTGGAATACTGTGTGCAGTTCTGGTCTCCCATGCTTAAGAAGGATGAATTCAAACTGGAACAGGTACAGAGAAGGGCTACTAGGATGATCCGAGGAATGGAAAACCTGTCTTATGAAAGGAGACTCAAAGAGCTTGGCCTATTTAGCCTAACCAAAAGAAGGCTGAGAGGAGATATGATTGCTCTTTATAAATATATCAGAGGGATAAATACCAGGGAGGGAGAGTGTAGTGGGGCAGCCGCCCCACTCCTAGAGAATTTAGGCTGCAGCAGACCAGTGGGCCTGCGCAGACAGGGTAGCCAATCAGAGAAGGGCTTACTGGGAGCCAATCAGGGCCTAGGTTGGAGACAGCCAATCAGGGCCAGGCTCAGCCCTATAAGAAGGCTGCTCAGGGAGAGAGCAGTCAGTCTGTCCCAGGCCTTCGAGAGGGGAAGGTCTATCTCCAAACTGAGAGACTAGCACCGCGGACAGCGCAGTGCTGACCAGGCTCAGGGAGCAGAGGGGAGCTCTAGCCTGAGGCCTGCCAGGCTGCAGGCCCTGAGTGGAAGGGCCTAGCGGGTGCAAGGGGCCATAGGGGAAGCAGCCCAGGGAAGCGGACAGACGAAGGGAGAGAAGGAGGACAGCGAGGCTGCCGCCAGAGGGTCCCTGGGTCGGGACCCAGAGTAGAGAGCGGGCCTGGGTCCCCCCCCCCACCCCCTTGCAGTACATCTAGCCATTGGCCGTAGGGAGCGGCCGGTACAGACCACGCCAGATCCCTGACGGGAGGGATTAGACTTTGGGGTGTGTGGTTGACTACGGTGGCTGGACAAGGAGACTGCTGATTGACCCGCACAACCGGAAGGGGGTGTGGAAGGACTGAGGGGCACTGCCGGAGGGCAGTGGTCCCGAAGAGGATGCCGCGGGTTGGTGAGTGACGAGGGCTCAGACACGCCAACTGAGGGCGAGACGATGCACGGGGAACCACCAGGAGGGGGCGCTCCACTGGACTGAGCTAATTCCCGGGACAACCAGTAGGCGGTGCCGTGGTGGTGAGTCCCAACCCCGTTACAGAGAGGAATTATTTAAGCTCAGTACCAATGTGGACACAAGAACAAATGGATATAAACTGGCCATCAGGAAGTTTAGACTTGAAATTAGACGAAGGTTTCTAACCATCAGAGGAGTGAAGTTCTGGAACAGCCTTCCAAGGGGAGCAGTGGGGGCAAAAGACATATCTGGCTTCAAGACTAAGTTTGATAAGTTTATGGAGGGGATGGTATGATGGGATAGCCTAATTTTGGCGATTAATTGATCTTTGACTATTAGTGGTAAATACGCCCAATGGCCAGTGATGGGATGTTAGATGGGGTGGGATCTGAGTTACTACAGAGAATTCTTTCCTGGGTGTCTGGCTGTTGAGTCTTGCCCAAAAGCTCAGGGTTTAGCTGATCGCCATATTTGGGGTCGGAAAGGAATTTTCTTCCAGGGCAGATTGGCAGAGGTCCTGGGGGTTTATCGCCTTCCTCTGCAGCATGGGGCACTTGCTGGAGGATTCTCTGCACCTTGAAGTCTTTAAACCACGAATTGAAGACTTCAATAGCTCAGACATAGGTTAGGGCAGTGGTTCCCAAACTTGTTCCGCCGCTTGTGCAGGGAAAGCCTCTGGCGGGCCGGGCCGGTTTGTTTACCTGCCGTGTCCGCAGGTTCGGCCGATCACGGCTCCCGGTGGCCGCGGTTCTCTGCTCCGGGCCAATGGGAGCTGCTGGAAGCGGCAGCCAGTACGTTCCTCGGCCCATGCCGCTTCCAACAGCTCCGATTGGCCCAGAGCAGCGAACCGCGGCCACTGGGAGCCGCGATAGGCCAAACCTGCGGACGCGGCAGGTAAACAAACTGGCCCGGCCCGCCAGGGGCTTTCCCTGCACAAGCGGCGGAACAAGTTTGGGAACCACTGCCCTAACCTATGTCTGAGCTATCGTTTATCTCGGCCACAGTTGGAGTACCAGAAGAACTTGCTTTTCGTTTCAAAGTTCCTTCTTTTAGCCACAAATTCATGGTAATTAGGTAGTGGTTTGGGAACCACTGGGTTAGGGGTTTGATACAGAAGTGGGTGGATGAGATTCTGTGGCCTGCGTTGTGCAGGAGGTCAGACAAGACAATCATAATGGTCCCTTCTGACCTTAAAGTATATGATTCTATGAAATGGAGTGACATTATTCAAATAAATCAGGTAATTAACTTTTTCCCCTTTATTTGCTCAGCTTGTAGATCTGGTCAAATCATATGCAACTATAAATGAGGAGTAATTGATTCAGTAAATTTAATTACATTGTTCAACAAATAATATCTCCATTGGTCCAGCTTTGGTCATAGACCCTGTCGTGCTAACAGCAAATGGCGATTCCTCGTTAGCTCAAGTTACAAGGGCCTGTACTGTTGGAGCAGGACAATCTAAGCTCTATTCCTGCCATTATCATGAAGTTCCAACGGCCATAGCATGCAGCATAATGATGAAAGTTGTGTTCCAAGAAGCCACAGGTGGGATAGATAGAGAGAGAGCCTCAGCTGGTGTCCTACTATTATTTATATCAGTGTAGCATCTAGGGGCCCTACTTACAGACCAGTAGTGTTAGGCACTGTACAAACACAGAACAGACAGTTCCGGAATGGGCCTAATTCTATTGAGCTCATTAAAGCTATACTGGGAATCTGGGTCAGTATGTTAAAGAAAAGAGAGAGCCTTTCACACATTTACCTCTGGTTAGAACAGAAATCCTCCGGGCCACGTCATCTTCCTCACTCATCCAGCTGTCAGTCTCAGACTCCCGACTGTCTGTTCTAAGGCTGCTTTCACACCTGGAGTATTTCTGTGATCTGTAAAGCAACATTCAGTTAACATTCTAGTTGGGAGAGGGAGCCACCACTACAGTGAAGGCTGCATAAGTGTTTGAGTTCTAAGCTCCTTTTTAAACCACTCAGCACTTTCACTAACTTTCCGTTTTCAGGCACTGGCATGAGTTTTGGATGTCACAAGTCCCCCACAGCAAAGGGTCCCCTTGTCTGTAGCAGTGTCTGTAAATACAGCAGCTAACAGTATCTGCTGTTAACTTTATGGAGCTTAATTTTAAAAGGCTGAGGAGACCTTATATGTAAACCCAAACAACTCTTTAACAACAGTTAAAGCATGGTAAAGTTATGAGCAACTGAAAATAGAGTCTTATAATAGAAGTGTTAACCTACCTTAGCTAATAGGCATAGCTGGTAGGGCTTCCTAAAATAAATATCCCCCAGAGTGTTTTACAGCATGGAACAGAGATAGCCCTGAATAGAAAATCCTAATCCAAACACTGCTTAACTTTGGAAAGTCTGGATCTGAATCCGAACTTTGAGGCTACTTTTAACTCTTCAATGGGCCAAACCAAAACCCCAGATCTAAATCACACTAAATTTTGGGAAAGTTTAGATCCAGATTCACACTTTTAGCTGGAACCCATTTCCAGTGTAAATGGTGTATTCTCTGTAAGCTGAAGTCTTTAAATCGTGCTGTGAGGACTTCAGTAACTCAGCCAGAGGTTATGGGTTTATTTCAGAAGTGGGTGAGGGTCGGTGGCCTGCAATGTGCAGGTGGTCAGACTAGATGATCATGATGGTCCCTTCTGGTTTTAAAGTCTGAGTCTAGTATAGAACTAAACATAAGAAACGTTAGCTCATCTTGAACTACAACAGTCCACAATGAAACGGCACTAGCAGGTCACACCAGGGTCACATTCTCACCTTTTAACTACACAAAGACCAATGCCAGATACAAATATTTGTCTTCTTTATCATAGTTGTTAATTTCAAACAGAAAAAAACAATTCCTGTGCCTTTAAGTGCAAGAAAATCACACACAATTTCTTTCTCTGCTTGTATGAGGGATGGGCCCCCTACTGATCTTGTGGAAAACACAACCCACCAAACTTTCTACCAAAATTGCAGCTACATACTTCTGACGGTTATGAAAATGGCTGATTAACATTTTCTTTTCCAGTTCACATCCATGTGTCTCTGCTGGAAAGTGGGGCCAACTATTTATTCAACCATATGAACTCTTTTTTCTGTTTGTGAATTATCCCCAAATAGACTTTGATCTTTATGGTTTTGTTTGTCATTTGATGAATGACTTATACAAATGTATTTTAGTCAATGGGCTGCTCAGATGAACTAATTCATTATTCATGTTGTGAGATGACTGATCTCTGTCATGGGGGACTGTTTCTGATCACAGATTCGATGACTTCCAAGGTAGAGCCAAGCAGAACCCGGGGACACCCAGCAATGTCAACGGCAGCTGAGGGTGCTGAGCACGAAAATCTGACCACCTGGTGCTGCACACACAACATAAACCTTAAGATGATTTTTCTAAGAGTACAATATGCCTTGATGTCCTTGTCCAAAATTCCCCCTCCCGTCACTGCTGTGGGGGGACTTGTTGGCATCCCCATTCCAGAGGTAGCTGCATTTCAAAAGTGCTGAATAATTATAGCTTGGGACTGACTATGGGATGGATGGTGCTGTATAAATCTATGATATTAGGACTGCTCAAAGAAATAGAACAAACTGGCCATGCTGTACATTGTCATGAATTTTTATGTGCTGGAAAGACTGACCTGTCTGCATTTGCCCCATACTCCAGTTCAGTTGATTGACTTTGCAGGGGTGAACCGCATTTACTTTCTGAATCCTGTGGAAACAAAATAAAACCATAGTGAAAAATTAATGGGAGGAAGCATTGAGAATATCGTTAATTTTATCGAAAAATTTACTTCTTATCTGACAAAAACATGTCCCTTGTCAAAGCCAGAAAAGGGAAATGGAAAGTTTCCCGGTCAAAGATACATGCACGAATCTCAATTCAGCATTGCAGAACCTACTCAGCGTAAAAAGTCTCTTCAGCTGTATTTGCAAGCTCCACAACAATCCAGACATCTCTGTACAATTGACATCCTAGCATGCATCACTGAGATCTGGAGGGATCCATATAAATTATTCCTCTCTGCTCTCACAATGAGAGTACAATCACTTACAGGATTTACGATCCACGCCATGCTCTCTGTCTCCCATATACTATATTAACTGGCAGCAGGAAGCACCATTGGATGAGCATGAACTACTGGCAATAACTTGCTTTTTATCCCAGGCACAACAATGCCAGCTGTTAGTGGCACGGAGCAGCTCGTCTATGGAAGGAACACTTGACTGGCAGAGAAAGCAGACACTTGATTGCCCTCCAGATGGAGGAGAGAGCGTGCGTATCGGTGGCTGATTGTAAAGTTCCAGAGTGATAATTGGGTTCTGCATTTAGATTATGATACAGAACGTCTGCCTTTATCATATGCAAATTGCTCCTTCTCAATTGTAATGTTTGAGAGATATTTACTTAGATTTCAGTTCAGGATGGATTTACTCTCATTCTTTCCCTAATTTGTATTTCAGATGCAATCAGAAAACCATCTTTGCATGTTACAAAGTATAAACTGTTGAATCCCCAAAAGTACCTCTACAAAAGTCACCATTTCTGTCTTATTGCCATATATTCAGGCTTACTTTCCCTCCATCAGAAATGCAAAAGAAGCATGAATTCAGTAATCCAATTTCTACACCTATGGACCAAATTGAGTGGAGAAAGCCATGGGGATTTTTGTTGGTCTCTTAGCAGAGACAAGATATTTTGCTTTGCTCCTTTATTCATCCATTTTTCTCAGTACTGTCAGTTTCCAAAGCTACCCATTGGGAGCAAATGGCAGCAGTGGTTTTGAAAGTAAAGCATATACACTACCTGCTTGAAGGAGACTGGGCTCAAGACATGCTGAAAATAACCAAGAATAAGACATAAGTTTTAGGCTCCCATTCAGCAAAGAACTTAAATGTGGGTTGAATGCTAAGCATGTGCTTTGCGGAGAAGGGAGGGACTTAACCATATGCTTAAAATTAAACAAGAGTTTTAATATATTGCTAATTGAGGATTTTATTTTATTTTGGGGGTATACTGATTTGCTAGATCATATGCACAGCATAGGTGTGAGTCTGTATTTTATTGATCTTGGACAGTTAAATTCCAATCTCCATTCTAATCCCTTGCTCAAAACTTTGTCAAACAAATTCCTCCCACCCTGAAATTTTCTCAGCTCAATTCAACTCAAAGATGCTTTAAAAAAAAAAAAAAAAAAGAGTGAAATTGGTTGAGCCATTTTTTTAATCATTTGAGCATGGAAAGAATTACACTGTGGTCATATTTTGTTATCAGCAATTTTACAGCTGTATAACTAAAAAATGGCCGAAGCTACAAAACTTGGCATATTTGGTAGACCTTGCTGAGGCTTAGATACCAAACTAAGTTTTAGGAAGTTAAGTTTAGTTGTTTCAAAGGCAGCAATTGGAGGTCAGTAAGGTGCAACTTTTAAAATATGTATTTCATTAAAAAAATGACGTTAAAAGAATGTTAAGGTTACAAAGTCAAAATTCAGAAGTTAGGAAATGCCAGAATAAAGGTTGTCCGTGCAATTTGAATTCAGCCCCCTTGTGTGTTTGTGTTATGAGACAGTCTTTAATTACAGGATCACATACTATGTTTTTTCCATATGACCCCTGCCTCAATCCAGAGCTAACAGCTCTGCCTATAATAGCCCATTCCCTTCAGCATGGTTTATTGCTTTATTAGAATATGATCCTCCCCAGAGGGGTGGCCCATTAACTGATTTCTCTTCATTTCCCCAAACCCATGCCACTGAGACACATGTAAACAGGTCACCAGGTAATGTCTAGAAATTCCACTCAGGCTTCACCTTGCTGCACATCTGGCTGGATTCCTCTTCCCCTTCTCTGAAAGTGAATGAGTGCTCGGCTTCTAGGCTTCCCTCGTTACCTTGTTCATCTGAACGCAAGAGAGTGAGAGCAAAGAAAAAGATCTTTAGAATCTGAAAGGCAAGTTCCTCCTCTTCTGTGCAGCGTGACACCGGCAGCTGGGCCGTCGGCATGGAAAGCCCATCAGCAGAGAGCTACAGAAGCAGGCACTAGCTGTAAACCCCCCAGGCTCTGGACAAGTGAGCTTCTGGCTCCTCCAACCAGCACATATGGGGTGGAATCCTACACGCACTGAAGTCAATGGGAGTTTTACCAGGGACTTTGTGGGAGCAGAATTTCCCCCAGGCTGTGTATCTGGCAGCTCTTCCCCATCTGCCCCACTTATCCCTACTCCCACACTGGAGACGAGAGGGGAACAGGTCACGTCTTCCTTCCAGGCCAGCACCTAACACAGCTTCCGAGCCCTGTGGAGAAGAGACTTTTAATGTGACTTGTAGGCCGGGCTCGCGCCCTCAGCCTGACACTCAAAAGGACTGGAAAAGGGGGGGGGGGGACATAAACCAGCTGCTCCCTATATCTGACTCCAATTCACAGGGTTCACCTGGGGGTCATGTCCCTCATGATCAACCTAGCCTGATGGACCCCCATCCCCATCCGTCCTGCCTCATTCCTCAACTGCCGCCAACTGTCACACCCTCTGGTAGAACCTTCTCCCTCGGTCTCTGTGACATCGCTGGCTGGCACCCCCCAGCACCCAGCCTGGGTGAGAAACCTCTCCCTACACGGCACACCGGCAGTACAGTCTGGGCAGCATTAGGAGAAGGATGGGCCAGCACTTAGAGTGCAAGCAAGGCTCTCAGGAAACCCAAGTAGGATTCCTTGCTCTGCCTCAGCCTTCCTGTGTGACCTTGGTCTCATCAATTTGTCTCACTGTGCCTCAGTTCCCCACACTGCCCTACCTGAGTGTGGTGCTGAGAGGATAAATGCACTGAAGATGCTCAGATACCATGGTGACGGAAGCCAGAGATAGACTCAAGGAATTAATGGCCATCCAGAGCCAATGGAATGTGGAGATGTCAGAACGAGCAGACTGAGCATTGACATGGTTAACATAAGGGTAATGAGCAAGGGAATAAAGGCCCATGTGGATGATGATAGCAGGGAAGAAAAGGAAAACCGCCTCCCTCCTGCGTAGCTAGATGAAACTGCATCTAGATCCCAGGACTGGGAAATGCTTGCAAAGCTTTCTAGAAAACTGCAGCACTACAAAATCCCTATCCCTACAGTGCACTAGCTCAACCTAAAAGCACCAGTCCCTTGACCCCTGAAGTCATCCACTCCTACCTTCTTTGATGAGCAAGCCAAAAAATGGCCCCAAAAAAATCAATCCATAGCTCATATCCCACAAATCCCTGGACCTCAAAAGGATTATGGGATATCTAGGGCTATTTTCTGACCATTTATTGGATAGTGGACCAACAAGGCTTGAGAACCACTGACTCAGTGACGCCAGTTAGATGTTAAATGGCCAGTTATATATGTAAATTACCACAACTTTGTATACAGATTTGTCTCTGCACTCCAGCTATTCCCAGCTCTGGGAATAGCCCACTGGGAACAGAAGAAACCAGAGCTAAGTCGGTGCATCCCTGAAGTTGCTATAACTTTGCCCCCAACTATCCCCAGAATGAGGCTTAAAGCCACCATTGCCTGTTCCCTGGGGTCTTGTGCCAAGCACTGCTCAGTCAGAGCGGAGAATCAGGGGCAGTGGGCCCAGTTTTACTCTCATTGACAGTGGTGTAAAGCAGGAGCGACTCCTTTGAAGTCAATGGAGCTATACTGGTGTCGCTGAGAGGAGAGTCAAGCCCAAGCACACAAACTGCCTGCTTTGAACATGCAAGTAGTGGATTGCGCTAATGCTTACCGGACTGGGCTGTTGTGCTCTGGAGGGAAGAAGTATCACACTGGCTGCCTGAATAAGCCCAATGCAATGCTGCGCTTCGGCAGACAGTGAGCTGAACGGTGCCTTGAGCCTTGCGTAAGAGGTCAATCACCGTATTGCGCGTCAAACCAGACACTAAATCTCCATTCACCTGGAAAGCACACAAAGACAAATGCCTTTACAGCCCTGGAGCAGAAGGGTTTCATATCGCACACTGGCATGGAGCACGTGTGCACACCTCGCCCGCAACTCAATTGGCTCTGATTGTCCGCATCCCCTTCACTGTTAATAACTCAGTAAAACCTCTCTCCTAGGTAGGCCTTTGTATAGAGCAGTACCACCAGACAGCCACCACCCTCTAGGAACTGACACATTTTCAGTTTTCCATGTTTTGCCCCTTTATCCAATGGAAAGAAGAGAGAAAGGGAGCTGTGGGGATGAAATATGAACAAGAACAAATTTGGGGATATGGGGTTTTTTCAGCTTTTTGTTAAAAAGAGGGAAAAATTTGGGAAGAAAAACAAAACAAAATCTGCAAATGTTCGGTCTGGAGCAAGAGGCCATTTTCTGCTGGAAATGTGTGACCAGCTCTTCACTGATCCACCCCCTGCGCTCCCTGGGGTGCCCTCCTGCATCCCTCCCAACCTTCCTGGCAGTCGGCCCCAGCCTACACAGGAGTCCTCCTCATCCTGGACTCCTCTGTCCTCCAGATTGCTCCCTCTGTGAAATCCCCACCATCTCCTCCCTCCTCCCCACACTTGCCATCCCCAGCGCCGCCCCCGCCCCCCCAACCTGTCACTAAGCGGGGGGGAGGGGGGAGAGGGAGGAGGGAGGAGAAACCGTAGCTCCTGCCAGTGCTGCCCCTCCTGGCTTGGCCAGACTTCTGCTCTGCAGTCACTCAGCCAAGATTGGGGTGTGGGGGGAGAGGGGAAGAAGCCAAGGCAGGCAGGGAGTTGAGCTCTGCAGAGAGAAGCCCCAGCAGGGGACAGAGTGACTTGTACAGGCAGCAGGCTGCAGTGCAGCTGCCTCCCACCTACCTGAGCCCAGGGACATGTTGCTCCACAAAGCAGCTTCAGACTTTCCTCTTCACCTCACTCTACTGCCTGCCTTCCCCACCCCCGCTCACTCTCCCCGTGGCCAGCCAGAAGTTAGAGAGGACACAGATAACACTGCTGCCTCATAGGCTGGAAGTTGTGGAGGGCAATATATCTCCCCTCCCCCACAATCCTGCCCATGCCCATCACTCTGGTATCTGGGTCTCTGTCAGCCTGGCTGTTTAATTAGCTATTATCATTACAACGGCTGGCGTGTGCAGTCTCTGCAGAGAGTTGCTCAGCATTTCGATCTGGGGTTTTGCTGTCTCAAGCTAACTCATTAACAGAAGCCACTACAGAGAGGCCAGCTGATGTGAGTCACAGAAGCAGGTCAACCCTTTTCTAGAAACTAGCGGCCTAACGCAGGCAGTAGCACAGATACACCTCCTTTGCAGTAACTGGTGCCTGCCCTTTCGGGAAGCACTATGCCCAGGAGTAGGGATCTGCAGGGTTTTGTAGATTAGGAAACTCAGCTGCAGCCAGGCTAGCACCCCCACACCCCCGAGAGCCTTCCCACACTTTTGACATTTGCCCAGGCAGGCGGCAAGTCACGGGAACCCCCAATTATGATCTGATTACAGTGATCATGTTCAGTGTTTGGTTATGACTGCACAGCGTAACACAAACTCTCCCTAAACTTCCAGGGCAAATCTAGACCAAAGCAGCAAAGCCAAACGTTACCTTTAGTAAGATGTCACCCACTTGAAGCCTCCCGTCGAGATCAGCGATACTTCCCGGGCTGATGGCTTTAATTAGAATAGCCCGGCCATTTCTGCCACCTACCAGCGCAAATCCCAGGCTCCCGTTGGCAGTTTTCTCCAGCTCAATCTTAATGATGCAGTCCTGCAATACAGAAAGGCCCTGCTCAAAATGGAGCTAAGTCAGGAGCCAGATGAACTGACAGTGATCGTGACTGGAAATTCCTAATGTGCCCTTCACCCTACAGGATACAATGCGCTTTACAATCTTCACTCATTGATGGTATAAATTATAGGGCAAAGTCTTCTCTTGCATAGACACACAAAGGGACTTAAATGGCAGCTGCACATACGTACCAAAGAGATGGTATGATAGATATTTCCATAAAAAATAAACTTATTAAAACAATTAAAGTGTCTTGGGGGAAAAGCCCACCGACACAAACCCTTAAAAGCAAGAAAATGGCTAGTTCAGGGATCCTTCTTTAACAGGTCAAATTTCACTGATGGGTAAGTCACATATACCTCCAAAATGTACAGTAACACAATACACAGCCTCTCCACTGGACTATAATGCAAAACCTTAGCCTCAGCAACACCACTATTCATGTCTGTTAGGCATTTGTGCACCAGTAGATAGTATGATGAGTTACTTTCACAGGCAGAAGTTTGAGGTCAGAGTTAAGGTTTTGGCAGACAAACTTATATCAAGTGCAATGCCCTGGAAATGTTTAAATTTTGTTCCTGAAAAATATGTAGAGTACATTGATAATGAGGCACATTCTCTAACACTTGTGGCAATCTGTTCCACTCCAAAAGACAAAGAATTGCTCTTCAGAAATATTTTAATGAGCTACCCGGATACAGATGATGATGATGCAGGAGATGAGATTGAGATGATGTAGGAGAATCCAGTGATTGGGGGCGGGGGGGGGGGGTAGCTTCATCAGAAGCAGGGAAGTCATTCCAATTTCCCCTTGAGTTTGGTGGTTGAATTTTAACAAGAGGCTCCCAGAAGCCCCCTCCAGCAAACCACCAGCTGCATAACACTAGCAAATACATCACCATAAAAATTCCACCCCCAAAATGGGCAATTTTAATTTCAAGCCACTTTGCAGTCCTGATATTTTTGCAGAAATGAGTATCTGCAGTGAGACATGGAAATGTTGTCCATTTCAGTGGGAAGACTGATTTTCCTGTGAATACACATTTCTAATCTGGAAATTCAAAATTTCAAATACGTCACCTCTCCTGCTGGCAAGTCAGACTATATTTTTAAGATAAAGCCATTTTGGTCCAAAAATATTTGTAAAATTCCACAGGTTTATCACACCCTGGACCAGTTCAACAATCTCATAATGACATGCAGAAATCTCACGTTCCAAGGAGTTCTGGGGACTCTCACACTGCAAAGGTGTTTCACAGCCCTAGTTATATTCATTTCTGCAGAATCCCCAGATGTACTGTTAGATCTCTAGCGTCTGTGCCATTTTCCTTCTCTGTTCGGGCTCGATCTTGTGAGGAGCTGGAAACGCTAAACTCCTTGTGAGTGCTCCCAAGAGGGCACTGTGTATGATCAGAGTTTTTTATACTACAGCGCTAGTAATATAGCGATATTACACATAGAAAAATAGCAGTAGAGGGACCTAGTCCTGTGAGTGGCTCAGCACCTTCAAGCCAGTGATTGCTCTGCACCTCACGAGCTATGGCCCTCATGGAATATGCTTACACTTGCAATGGAACAGAAGATAAAGCAAATACATTCAGTGTCACTGTAGAAAATCCCACTGCCGAAATCTGTATCGAGATCCTTCTGTTCGGCAGGCTGCCTGGCACTTGATAAAATGATGACTTACCTCATAATCTGCTGAGTCAGATGTGCTTTGCTCAACACCACCACTTTCTTCCTCCGAGTGCTTTGCTGTGAGAAAGCAGGATGGGTTCTTACAAAGCTGCATTAGCGGTAGGTTTTACAATGTAACACTGGACATCACACTATTAGACATAATGCAAGTTATTTTTGTTTTCACAAGCAAAAGACCACCACCAAAAACTCACTCTGCACTTACACGGTTTGCTTGTTCAGTTCCACTTCTTCAGCTGTTAACTGAACCCTGTGCCTGTCCTCTACTGTCTTTTTACCTCCCACATAGCAGTTTCCCAAGCAACCCTTAAAGCTGCACGTCACAGGGTCGGAAACATCAGTTGGACAACTGATAATGTACAAAAATGTTCTCTGATACTCCAGGGGAGGCCGTTTTGCTTACTAATAATTAATCTTTTCCATTCACAGCCAGAAGCACTTGCAGATTTTCTTTTTCTTTGAAAGAGATGGCATGAAACGTTACAAAGCCAGATTGAGAAATGCAAAGTAATTTCCTTACTATGTTGACGGGGTAGATGTTGTTCTTGGAGACTCACATTTTCATTTGAGAGAGATACTTTGACTTCCTCTGGCTCAGCAGGTGGCTCTAAAAAACAAGCGCGTAGATTCGCTATAGCTGATAGGCATCCTGCTAAATTTAATGTATGTGAGAGAGTGCAGACTAGGGTTTAGATTAGCCAACTAGTTGCCAGGACTCCTGGATTCTAATCTCAGCTCCAGTACTGACTCACTGTATGACCCTGGATGAGACACTTGGGGTATGTCTATAATGCAATGAAAAACCCGTGGCTGGCCTGTTCCAACCAACTCAGGCTTGCATGGGGCTTGGGCTGCAGGGCTGTTTCACTGCAGTATAGACTTCCAGGCGCAGGCTGGAGCCTGGGCTCTGGGACACTGCGAGGTGGGAGGGTCCCACAGCTCCGGCTCCAGCCAGGGGTGTCTAGTTGCTGTGACATAGAGTCCCTGTCCTGTGCTTAAATTTCCTCATTTGCACAATGGTATAATTAATACTTGCATAACTCATGAGTATATCATGCAGTTTAATCACCATAATTAATGTTTTTAAAATGCTGACAACAAGCACAGCGCAAAGTTAACGTTATCTTTGATGAGTGCAGTCAAGTCGGGTCAATTTGCTAAGGGAATGAATAGTATGTGTTTGTGAGTGTATATGTGAAAAGGCAATGTATGTAGATATATAGCTTTACAGTACACTATATTCCCTAAAAAAAAACCAATGAGGAGTCCTTGTGGCACCTTAGAGACTAAAAAAATGTATTTGGGCATAAGCTTTTGTGGGCTAAAACCCACTTCATCAGATGCATGGAGTGGAAAATACAGTAGGCGGGTATAAATACACAGGCCAGTCCTCACTTACAGACAGCCCCCCAACCTGAAGCAAATACTCACCAGCAACTACACACCACACAACAAAAACACTAACCCAGGAACCAGTACCTGCAACAAACCCCATTGCCAACTCTGTCCACATATCTATTCAAGGGACTCCATCATAGGACCTAACCACATCAGCCATGCCATCAGGGGCTCGTTCACCTGCACATCTATATGCTATCATGTGCCAGCAATGCCCCTCTGCATGTACATTGGCCAAACTGGACAATCTCTACGCAAAAGAATAAATGGATACAAATCAGACCTCAAGATTGATAACATTCAAAAACCAGTAGGAGAACACTTCAATCTCCCTGGACACTGAATAACAGACTTAAAAGTGGCAATTCTTCAACAAAAAAACTTCAAAAACAGACTCCAACGAGAAACTGCAGAATTGGAATTAATTTGCAAACTGGACATCTCAAATTAGGCCTGAACAGAGACTGGGAGTGGATGGGTCATTGCAAAAACTAATTTCCCTCTGCTGATACTCACACCTTCTTGTCAACTGTTTGAAATGGGCCACCTTGATTGCATTGGCCTCATTAGCACTACAAAAGTGATTTTCCCTCCCTAGGTATTCACCCCTTCTTGTCAACTGTTGAGAATAGGCCACTTCCACCTTAATTTAATTGAATTGTTAGCAGTGATCCCTCACTTGGTAAGGCAACTCCCATCTTTTCATGTGCTGTGTATTTATACCTGCCTACTGTATTTTCCACTCCCTGCACCTGATGAAGTGGGTTTTAGCCCATGAAAGCTTATGCCCAAATAAATTTGTTAGTCTCTAAGGTGCCACAAGGACTCCTCGTTGTTTTTGCTGATACAGACTAACACGGCTACCACTCTGAAAACTGTATTTCCTGTTCCTTTCTGGTTTTGAGTTTTGCATTATTATCCCTTAGCAACTTTCACTGGCTTCACTATGTGGGTTTTTTATGTTTGAATTATATAAGCAATAAATGTTCTATTGTGTTATTATGGAACTCAAATAATGTAAATTAGTACATTCATAGGCCAGAAGGGACCACTATGATAATCTAACAGACGTCCTTATAACACAGGCTATAGGACTTCCCTGTATAAATTCCTGTTTAAAATACAGCAGATCTTTTAGAAAAACATACAATCTTGATTTAAAATTTTTCTCTGATAGAGAATCCACCACATTCCGAGGTAAATTGTTCCAGGAGTTCCAATTGTCCACACTGTTAAAAAATTGCATATTATTTCTAGTCTGAATTTTTCTAGCTTTAACTTCCAGTCATTGGATTTTTTATACCTCTGGCTGCTCGATTGAAGAGCCTTTTATTATCAGCTTTTTGTTGTTCATGTAGGTACTTATAGACTGACCAAGTCACCCCTGAACCTTCTCTTTGTTAATCTAAAGAGATTGAGCTCCTGAAGGCTATCACTATAAGGCATGGGTTTTCCCCCGAATCTTTTAATCATTCTCATGGCTCTTCTCTGAACCTTCTGCAATTTACCAATATCCTTCTTGCATTGTGGCCACCATCACTGGACACCAGGGGTCGTACCGGGGCCAAATACAGAGGTAATAAAACCTCCCTACTTCTTCTCAAGATTCCCGTTTATACATCCAATGATTGTATTAGCTTTTTTGGCCATGGTGTTGCATATAAGGAAGGTGTTACCTTGTCAACACAATAAATGCACTGAGAAGCAAATTATTATTATTTTTAAAAGGGCTTTGCTAAAAGGAATCATTTGGGATTATAAAAAGAATATGTAATCAAGGAGATGAAATTTATTGCACCTTTGTGTTGTTTATCATCACAATAATACATCTATGGAAAGAGAATAACTGGTTTTGAAAGCGTCCTGGGAAAATTCATGGAAAGTTAAAGTCTCAATAAGATGAATGAAATATGGGCTGGTGAGACATTTTGGTCCAGAAGTGACTTTTTCAGTTGTTCCTCATGTAGATAAAGATTTCAGGTAGCCAATCAGGCATCAGAAACATCATTACTTGACTTAGGCCTCACCTACATTCAGGTTTTGCACCAATTTAACTAAAACAGTTGAAAACCAGATTTAGTTACATCCATGCAACCCCCTAGTGCAGATGCAATTATAGTGCTAAAAAGGGATTTATAACAGCACAGTTTGTTTCTGTTTTTCTATCAGTGTGGTTACACTGGTGCAGTGTAGACAAGGCCTTAGATGACCAATCACATTGTGCAACAGTGAAGTATGGATAGAAAATAGTCAAAACAGTCTTAGTGAATCGTTTGCAATCAACCCAGAGACTAAAATATGTTTGCAGAAAACTTCCATCCAGACTGTCTGAACAATGAACAAATTCACCAAAATCTGAGCGTGGAGAATTCAAACATGGGTTAAATTCCTTGAACAAATTATTCTTGGCCAATAGTTCACCGAGTTCTACATTTTCTCTCTTTTGGTAAAGTGCTGTGTAATTCTGTTCTCACCGTGGGTGTGATTTTAGTAGAAATAATAAATTAAAAGTGGTAATTTATCCATTGCATATTTTAAAATGCAACGTATCAACATAGACATGTGGTTAGTGAGATGAAGGCAGCTGGGAGATTAAGGGAGTTCACCAGCGAAGGAATGCAGGTAACTAGGGTTGTTGTTTTCCTTCCCTTAGCTTACAGGTACTCTACAAGGAAGAAGCACAATAGGAGGAAAATGGTGTGCCGCTAACAACATTGCTAGCTCTTCCTTTGCCTGCAGGGGTGGCCTGGCCAACCAGGTGTCCTCCTGACCATGGAAGCTTTTATCCAGGTCCTTGTCTTGACTTGCTGGGAATACAGCCTGCATGTCCCTGCCAATGAAAGCCAGGCATGAGGAACCACCTGGTGTCTGTTGATGGAGTCCCTCGGGAAGCAGGTAAGAAAGCTGCAGGAGGAGATGGTACATCGTGTAGCATCCAGGAGCATGAGGACTATGAGGATGCACATGGAGATGTCCAGGATGGAGGATGTTAGCTGACTACAGATTGCTACAGCAGCACCAGAGAAGGAAGGCGCCTCTGCAGGAAAGAGACTGGCTGCCGGCCGCAGTAGACAGTGCTCCACCCCCATCCAGGTTCCCCATCCTTCGCAGTCAAGAACCAGTATGCTGTACTGGCAACAGGCAGTGAGGGGCAAACCCCAATGGCTGAAGAGAAGGTGCCACCTGCCCCCAAAGCTGAGAGGGTCATGGCCACCAGACCCAAGAGGAGGCAGCATAGGGTACTAGTGGTCTGTGACTCCCTTCTGAGGAGGCTGGAGACATCCATCTGCTGACCTGACATGAAGTCCCAGGAAGTCTGCTGCCTGCCTGGAGTCCACGTACAAGACATTATGGAAAGGTTATTGAGACTCTGATCCACTGATCCTGGAAACATTATCCCTCTAAGCAGTGCCCCATGCTGCTTATCCACATTGGCACTAATGAAACTGCCGGGTACGACCCTGAGCAGATCAGCAGTGACTACAGGGTTCTGGGGGTGAGACTGAAGGAGTTGGGGGTGAGGCTATGTTCTCGTTCATCCTCTCGGTTGAGGGTAAGGGCCCAGGCAGGAGCACACATCCTGAAGATGAATGCATGGCTGTGCAGATGGTGTCGACAGGTGGGCTTTGGCTTCCTTGACCATGTGATGCTGGGAAGAG